CACCTCTAATATTTTCACTTATAAACACGTTTTGTTATTCATACATTCCAATCTCTTAACACACACACTTCCTTTGTATGTCCTCAGGAGTCAACACAGCCAATCATGTGCTCGTACAAAGTTGTGAAAGTTTTTTTTGAGGTGTGGGGACTACAGACTCGTGTTGAGGCTGGCGTTCATAGAGTGAGTTAGTATAAGCTACTCCATCAATCACTGCCTCTTTCCTGTACCTGTAATAACATACATCTCAATTGTCCTTTCTTTCTTACAGGCTGTTAGAGATATCATCTTGAAAGGGCACAAGCAAGCTTTCCTATGGATAGATGAGTGGCATGGTCAGTCAGTTACAAGACTTGATTCAAAGTTCCAAGCATTATTGTATTAGCATCAATTAAACTTCAATTTCTTGTATTTCTATTCTTGTAGGACTAACAATGGAGGATATAAGAGAGTATGAGAGAAAGGTACATGAGGAGACCAATAGGATGGTGCTTTCAAATGGAACAGGAGCTGTAGCTGATGGAGCTACTCCTTAACATCAAAAGGACTCACTTACAATTAATAATTATTGTTTTATTGACACCATACTGATAAAAAATAATTATTTTCTTGTTATTATACATCACTCGCTTGTTATCTCTTCTTTACTGTTGTAAAGTTTTAATTATTATTATAATAGAAATACCACAATTAATAATAATAATAATAATACACAGTGTAGAGGTAGAGATGGAACAAAATAATAATAAAGAGAGAGAGAGAGCTGAGCACTAATGAATAATGAAGAGAAGGAACGTATGAATGAAGAAATGAACCCAAAATGAGAAAGAGAATATGAGTGTGTGTGTACATGTTAAGCCATTGCATTGCAATAAACACTGAATGGTTTGTGTCACAATAGGGCCCACACACACACACACACGTGACATGCAAGAAACTTAATAAAAAGAAAACAACAAATAGAAGATGATCCCTTTGATCAGGAGAGAGAGAGAGAGAGAGAGAGAAGGACACACACATACACACACAAGGGACTGTGCATGAGAACAAGATTCGAGAAGAAGTAGAAGAAGACATTAATCTTGCG